GACCCACCCGCGACCCACCCGCGACCCACCACGCGATCCAATCACATTGCTTTAGCAAAAAAATCGACGCCTGCGGCGGGCCCAATGCAAAATGAGTCAAAGTTAAGCGCCGGCGGCGGGCTTCTCCAAAACGTCGCAGACTGAGGACGTCCTCTCAGCCCCCTCACTCATATTCGCAATTGCGGGGTGTTACGTTATTATTCCTCCTCCTCCTCCTCCTGCTCCTCCTCCTCTTCCTCCTCCTCTTCTTCCTCCTTTTCCTCGTCCTCCTCCTCGATACCACCCCGCGGCTGGGCTCTCCTTCCTGCGGCGGGGGCGGGGCGCGGGGGGCTGGCGTCGACGTCACGGAGAAGACCTGGCACGGCGGGGGGCGCCCGTGGGGCTCCCCGCCCGACAGTGCTCTCTCCTTGTGCGCGCCACATACGGGAACGATTCGGAGACGGGTTCCGCCCTACTGGCGCGTAGTATTGTCGACCAGTGTCCGCATTAGCCCCCGCTGGCGCATCTTAGCGTCGAACGGCGCCTAGCATGCTAGCGGGTACTAGCGCTCATGGGCAATCACTGCTGGGCAGCAGTGAGCGCGAATCACTACTGGCCTTAGATCGGGCATGTCCTCCTACAGGCGGATTTTGAACGACGAATGCAAACAACAACAAATACCTCCCAATTAATTCAAGGCGCTTAAGGAAGCATCCCCAAACCATGTTTTGACTATGTTTGAATATTTCTCCTGTAGAAGGACAGGCCCGACTGAAGAGCAGCCGTGAAAAATGGCAACTCGTGCAACAAATAGAAACCCTCGCGGACATCGTCGCCCTCCCTGTGTTTCTAGGCCGCGCCGCGCCAGGCTCGCGTCGTGACGACCGTGGCATTTGGTGCCTGTAACCGCGTGGGCCGGCTCTTCCATCCATCGCAGGGTCTTTCCACATTGGTTTAGGTCGGGCGTGTCCTACTCCTGCTCATGCTCCTGCTCCTGTTCCTCCTCCTCCTCTTCCTTTTCTTCCTCCTCTGCCTCCTCCTCCTCCTCGTCGTCCTCCTCCTCCTCCTCCTCTGCCTCCTCCCTCCCTCCCTCCTTCCCTCCCTTCTGTTCCTCCTCCGTCCTCTCCATCCTCCTCTTCCTCTTCCTCCTCCTCCTCCACCTCCTCATTCGGTTTCTTATTAGTATGATTATTCGTAACGTTGGTATTACTGGTGTTATTAAATAATACGTATTGGTATTAATATTGTCGGTATTAATAGTACAATTATCATTATTATTGTGAATTATTATTATTATTAATATTATTAGTATTATAAGTATTATTAGTATTATTAGTATGATTATTCGTATTATGAGTATGATTAGTATTATGAGTATTGTTATTATTAGTAGTAGTATTACTATTACTATCACTAGTATTGTTCGTCTTCTTCTTCTGAATATTATTATTAGTAGTAGTACACCTATTATTATCATTACTCCTCCTCCTGCTCCTCCTCATCCTCCTCTTTTCCTGTGGCTCTCGCCTCGCTGCGCCCAATCCCGGATCGAACGAGCTGCTGATCAAAACAAAGGACCACACATCCCTGGCAAGGCCTGCAAATGAAAGATGACTTGGTGAATGAACGCACGCACACGCCAATGAAGAAGGAAGAGGAGCGTTGATGGAATCACTGCAGGGGGCATGTCACATCATCTCGTGGCGGTCCCAAGCGGGCAAGGCCACTCTTGCCGCCACATAATGGAACGACCTCTCGAAACGCCGAAAACCTTGACAGACGCCTAACGAAAAGTCGCCCCGAGGATGACACGGAATTAGCACTCCACTGGCCCAACTCCTCGAATCGCCCGCGAACGCATGCGAAGCGCAATCTCTTCTGAACGACGAAAGGACGACTCGAAGATGCTGCAGAAGCGTCCCACTGCTTCAACTCATCGGGTCTCTCACGGATGTAACTGCCCTCGTCGGGCCAGACTCCAATATCAGCGCCGTCTTCCAGCGTTACCTCGCGCGCCTCCGGTGGCGAGGCGGGGACCTCCCGCTCGGCAGGGGGCGGCTCCCCGCAAAAACCTCCCCAGGCGGCGGTGGGAGACTGCGTCACTGTAGCAGATGGCGTCTGGAGCCGCCTTAGAGCCTCGGCCTTAGCGCAGGCCTGTTTCACCTTGGGGTGGTTCCAATACTTCTTCATCAGCTGATTGTAGTCTGGCTCCTCCGAGGTCTGCTGGAGGGGCTCGACACCCCAGGCGCCCCCGGGACACTGAGTACCTCGTCGTCGAGCGAACCCTCGAGAGCTGCAGAACTTGGACCGCTGGCGAAATCCTCGAGCCCCTCCTCGTGGCCAACGGCGGAATAATCACCAGAGGGATGCCGAGCAGCAGCGGCCTCCCGTCCCAGATCCGCGCAGGAGAAAACGAACGGAGCCGCAGACGCACCGCAGGCCGACAGACCGAGGGGCAGCCCAGCGCCCTGGGGGGCAGCGCCCCCCAGCGCCCAGCGCCCGGGACGAACTCGGCAGCAGCAGCGCGCAGGCCCCTCTGCGTCACGCCAAAGCGCGCCTCGAGCCGCAGCCCGCGCTGCTCGCGGCGGAGCACGGAGGCGCAGGCGGTCGAGACGTCGACGCCCTCAGCGTTGGCGTGAAGTGCCACGTTGCGCCGAAGGACCTCCAACCAGCTCGGAGGGCGCCCCTCCAGCTTGGCGAGGAGGGCAGGCAGGAGGGCCCGAACCCTCTGTCCCTGCCTCGCGGCCCTCTGCGAGCGCATCCAGCGCCTCCTCCGCGAGCGACAAGCGCCCCTGCACCGAGAGGAGCTCCGCGGACAGGCGCTGTACAAGCTGATCAGCGGCTTCCCGCGCCGCACGTCGCGCCGCTCCACGATCGGCAGATGAACGAGAAGAAGATGGGGCGCCACCGCCAGGGGCGCTCCCGCAGCCATCATGCATGCCTCGCGCCCCACGCCCGTCGAACCAATGGCTATGGGGCCTGGCACCAGGCATGAGCCAAAATGGCTACGGACTCCTCCTCCGCCTCCTCCTTCTCCTCTTCCTCTGTCTCTTGTTCTTTCTCCTCCTCCTCCTCCTCCTCCTCCTCCTCCTCCTCCTCCTCCTCCTCCTTCCTCCCTCCCTCCCACCCTCCCTACCCCTCCCTCCCTCCCTCCCTCCATCCCCTCCCTCCCCCCCTCCCTCCCTCCTCCTTGTTCCTCTCGCTCCTCCTCTCTCCCCTCTCTCAACCCTCTCTCCTCCTCTCTCCTCCCTCTCCTCCACTCTCCTCCTCTCAAATCCTCCTCTCTCCACCTCTCATCCTCCTCTCTCCTCCCTCTCTCCTCCACACTCCCTCCTCTCGTCATCCCTCTCTCCTCCCTCTCACTCCTCCTATCTCCCTCCTCCTCCTCCTCTCTCCTCCACTCCTCCTCTCTCCTCCTCCATCCTCCTCCTCATCCATCTCCTCACCATCTCTCTCCTCCTCTCATCCTCCTCCCTCTCCTCCTCTGTCCTCCCCTCTTCTCCTCCTCTCATCCTCCTCTCATCCCTCCTCTCTCCACCTCTCTTCCTCCTCCCTCCTCCCCTCTCCTCCTCTCCTCCTCCTCTCTCCTCCTCTCTCTCACTCTCCTCCCCTCCTCCTCTGTCCTCCTCCTCCTCCTCCTCTCCTCCTCCACCTCCAGGCATCATCATAACATCATCATCATCATCATCATCATCATCATCAACATCATCATCATCATACACAGCAGCAGCACAGCATCAACGAGCAAGCAGCATCATCATCATCACCGCCACCACCACCACCACCACCATCATCATCATCAACATCATCAAACACATAATCCATCATCATCATCATCACAATCAGCATCGTCATCATCATCATCATCATCATCATCATCATCATCATCATCATCATCATCATCATCATCATCATCATAATCACCATCATCATCATCATCATCATCATCATCATCATCATCAGCGTCAGCATCATCATCGTCATCGTCAGCATCAGCATCATCATCCTCATCAGCAGCATCAGCATCATCATCATCAACATCCTCAGCATCAGCATCATCAGCATCGTCATCATCAGCATCATCACCATCACCATCACCATCCGCATCATCATCATCATCAACATCAGCTCCATCATCATCAGCATCATCATCCTCAGCAGCATCAGCATCAGCATCCGCATCATCAGCATCACCATCAACAACATCATCATCATCATCAGCAGCAACATCATCATCGGCATCATCATCATCATCATCATCAGCAGCAACATCATCATCATCATCAGCATCATCATCAACATCATCAATCTCAGCATCATCAGCATCATCAGCATCAGCAGCATCATCATCAACAACAACAACTACAACTACAGCTACAAATACAATAACAACACAAGCAATAACAACAACAACAACAACATCACCATGGTCATCAACATCAACAGCAGCAACATAATCACAATCATCAGCATCAGCAGCATCATCATCACCGCCATCATCATCATCATCATCATCAGCAGCAGCAGCCTCAGCATCATCAAAATCATCATCATCAGCAGTATCACCATCATCATAATCAACATCATCAACATCATCATCAGCATAATCATCATCAGCAGCAGCAGCTATCATCATCATCGTCATCATCACCATCATCATCATCATCATCAGCATCAACATCAGCGTCAACATCATCTTCATCATCATCAGCAGCAGCAGCATCATCATCATCATCATCATCATCATCATCATCATCATCAGCATCTGCAGCAGCAGCATCTCTACTCATCTCTCCTCCTCTCTCCTCTTCCCTCCCCCTCTCTCCCCCTCTCTCCCCCAAATCTCCCCCTCTCTCCTCCTCTCTCATCCTCCTCTGCCGCCTCCTCCTCTCTCCTCCTCTACCATCCTCTCTCCTCCTCCTCCTCCTCCTCCTCCTCCTCCTCCTCCGCCTCCTCCGCCTCCTCCTCCTCCTCCTCCTCCTCCCTCCCTCCATCCATCCATCCATCCATCCATCCATCCCGCCATCCCGCCTCCTCCTCCTCGTCCTCCTCCTCCTTCT